GTTAATCAGAAAATGACAGATTTGCTCTTAAACACAAGGCTGCCAGGCCTCCTCAGAGTGACCCACTGACCCTGTGCTGTTCCAGAAATGCTCTGCTTTGGGAGATGCACCATGTTTTCCATTTTAAACAACTCAGCTGATACTTGTGTGTGTACGGTTTTTTTTTAAAACAGTACAAGTAATGATGCTACTTCTACCATGAGAAGCAATGAAATGTTAGTTTCTTACATGTACAACTCTTACAGCCAATAACTAGCAATTAGTTTTGCACTGATACACCAGAGACCTGGGGCCTTGGAAAGTGGTGCCACTGAAGAGGAAGACTCTCCAGTTTGGGTGCATTAAGAGCTTGATAGTGAGATTCAAGAACACACTTAACCAACAACTGCTCTCCTTAAACCAGAGGTGAATATCCATGCTGACATGCTCTCTGAAACACCTGAGTACAATCTAGGGGCCCCACCTCTGAGAGCAGTATGGCCACACACTGGGGACAGAGGATACAATGCCAAGGCTTGTCACCCACCGCACAGGGTCTGCATGCTTCCTTCCCTGAGCACCTCCAGCCCTACCTCTATTTGTTGCCTTTGTCACTGGAACAGAGTCATAAAAACTTAAGACTCTCACTCTATTCCTGGTATCTTGATATGGATGCTAAGAACCACTAGTCCAGTGGGTCAACCAAAGACAATGTGGTGGTACATGTTAATTTGTCTTGAAATATACTACACCTTCTGGTCCCCAGCTGTGTTTACATCTCTCTAATTTTCAGATGTAGCAATCTCTAGGACTTCACTAAAAATAACAGTGGAAAGGACGAAAATCCCCACACCACTAGCCAGCCACATACGAGGAAAATAACATTTTCTCACCAAAGTCGCTTAAATAATATCACTTACAGCGAATGCCTAAAATGGGGTCTTTATCCCAAAGAAGAGTTCACTAAATATTTGTTGAGTAAGTGAATGAAACCAGGAACCAGTGAATTGATGGAAAAGTTGATGAGTTGGCAAATGTTAATAAATATTTGCATATCTGGACTAGAATGAGGTTTTTTCCAAAAATAGAATTCAATAAACTCTAAACCCTGTGAGGAAAAAAGGGGTAGCATCATCGTTTTCTGTTATGTTACATTGGAAATCTTTCTCCCCCCCAAAAAAGTTACACTTGAATGGACATTCAATAAATATTTACTAATGGAATCAAATTTTACAAATTATACAAGATTTAGTTTTACAACTTTAATTATCCATACAGTAACTCTGTAAAAGTGTATCTCCCTTTTTTTTTTTTAAAAAAAAGCCACTTTTAAGGATTAAAAACAACCAAAACAAAATGCTTATCTTAAAAAAAAAATCACGCACATTTCCTGGGGAAAATATTCAGCTTTACTTCAAGTTACTGAGATTTTTCTAGAAATGTGATGTTTGCAGCCCCACCTGGCCTTACCCTTTGGCTTAGACTCTTAGTGAGACAAATGAGCATGTGAGAGGATAGTACATCCTATTCTGGAAAAAAAAAAGAAAAAGAAAAAGATCCCCATGGAGAGAAGAGGGCAAAGAGGGAACACTCCAGGAGTCAAATACCACCTCAGCTGATGCCTCCCCCAGTTCAGTGATTCAGAGCTTTTACTCTCTTTATCCTATAATGAGTTAGAAGTTACTCCTACGGGAAACTAGCAAATTTTTATGACTGCACTTTCTGCCAGCCATTTGCAGAGGCCTGCGCTGAGTACCTGTCAATTTAAAATAAAAAGAGTAAGGGAATAGTTGGACAATTTTAAGGAGAAACCCCTTCTGCAGCACGTACTTCAACTAAAAGGCTTTGGGACCCACACGAAGTCAGGACCTGCTTCAGGGCTCCAAGTCAATTTACAGGTGGAGGCCTGTCTTATGGACAGCCAGCCAGCCTATGCCAGTCTGCTAGAAATAGGTAATGGCTCAGCAACGTGACCAGAAGGCGTGCCCCCAGTTTTCTATTTGTTAAAGAGAAAATATTTCAGACCAAGTTTGGTAGAAAATACATGCCAAAAGCTTCCCTTACTAATTAGAGGGGAAGCTGAACTTAAGCAGAGAAGAAAGCGAGAAGAACTTTCTGGTTTAGAAAGGCTACCACCAAAAAAGAAAAAAAAAAAAAAAGAAAAGAAAGGCTACCACCATACTAAGTGGAACTTGGGGGTCAGCTGGCAAAACCATGAAGAGTGACACAGAACACTGTTATGGAAACTTCTCGGGACACCTGAGTGGCTCAGTGGTTGCACGTCTGCCTTCGGCCCAGGGTGTGATCCTGGAGTCCCGGGATCAAGTCCCACATCAGGCTCCCTGCATGGAGCCTGCTTCTCCCTCTGCCTGTGTCTCTGCCTCTCTCTTTCTCTCTCTCTCTCTCATGAATAAATAAATAAAATCTTTTTTTTTTTTAAAGAAAGAAACTTCCCAAGGCAGACATCAAGGGAGGAGTGAAGTCCTCTCATTCTTGCATGTGGAGCTCCCGGGAACAGAGAGTGCACTCACATCTAATACTGAAATGTGGCCAATGGCAGAACTGATCCTTCTCACTGAAGAAAGCGTAGGAACATACAGGTGAGTCCCTTACTATCATGTTCAAAATGTACAAGCAAATGGTTCAGCCTTAATAAATGAAACCACCTGCTCCTCTGTACGGCCAACCTGCTATTTTCTTACAGGTTTCCAGTTCATATGGCTCCATGTTCTTTCCACCCCTCCCAATGGCACACATTTTTGGCACAAGTCTCTACCATTTAAGAAAAGGAACTATAAAATGGAAGACATTCCTATCTACTACATGGAATATTTTCAATCAGCAGGAGTTACAGAGGAGCACAGAATGCTTATGAGTTCTGTAACCAAGAGCCCAAAAAGAATGGAGGCAGGGAACATTCTAGGTTATGTTGGACTTCGGGGGGTCAGGACTGTTCAAATTCCTCTTTGGAGCTCACAATCTTAGAGATTATTTTGAAATATAAACATATTGTGAAAAAAGATAAACAACAAGTCCAAAATGGAGTCACTTGCCCCCTACAAGAGACAACCAAGACTTTAACTACAGTTTCAAACTGTTCCATGAACATAACCTTTTAAGAGTCAATCTGGAATTTCCTGACTGGCACTAGGGAGGTAACCCCTGCATGATAAAAATCCTGCCAGTTCCCTGCCCCCCATAAAAAAGATGATGTCCTGGCCTAAAAGAAGCCTTCCTTTTCTTTTGCTGACACCTTCCTTGCTCCACTCTCTTTCCTATGAAAACCTCCTACTTAATCCAACTCTGGGGAGCATCTCTCTGCTTGCCAGATAGGATGTGGCCCAACCCATGAATCCTTTAATAAAACCAATCAGATCTACAAATTTACTTGATTCAGTTTTTTTTTTAACAGCATATATATAAATGAATTACAAACACAATTAATGAGGCCCCGTTTTACCTCACCTGAAATGTAGCAGTTGGGAGCTCAGGGACAGGAAAGCAAAATTATAAAGGGAAGGAAGAATTTTTCTGAGAGCCAAGGCCATGAGGACCAACTCAAGTGAACCACCAAGTACCCCTGCTTCCAGTAGCCAGTCCTGTGTCTTGTCTATGTGTTAAGGGAAGGCCATGGGAGGGCTGAAAGACTAGGAGTTCCTTTAAAGGAACTGTGTTATGCTATCAGGTGATCAAGACATCTACAAGGTAGACCGGGTCCCTGCCATGATGCTGGCAGCTAATGGACAAGAGCACAGAAGCCACCAGTTCCTCCTGGGTCACGGATCATTTTATGGGACGCGACCGGCACCGCTGTTGAACTGCTAGCAGGCTAGCTGACGTTCACCTGCTCTCCTTGCACTCAATCAAAGAACACTGAAATCAGGGATTCCATCCTTCCTCTTTCAGTAGATTGGTGATGAAAGAAGAGCCCTGTCAAGGGCCAGAGGACAGGAAAAAGTAAGTCCAATTGATACAAGGGAGTGATTTCTTGCCCAGTCTGTTCTATTATCGTCCCCTCCGGGGCTCCTCCTCTCACACTGTTTCCTGGTCTGGGCTACTGTCACTTATTCCTGCAGAAATGCTCCCCTGACACTCAGGGGAAGGCAAAGGGGTGTCCTGGGCTTCACCTACAGGAGGACAGAAGAGCAAAGGGCCAGAACCAGGGCGCTGGCAGTGGGGCAGGGCACCCTTTCTGCTCGCATATTCAACACCTCCAGGGACACAACGAAAAAATTCCTTGAAGCCTCATACCTTCTATGTCACCTTCATACCGAAGAACTTTATTTTTTGTTTTTGTTTTTTTAAGCTAAAATGTTACTGAAAACAAAATCTTCTCAACTAGCCACTTTGGAACAATATACTGCATTATGAAGCTCTGTACATTTTCACTGTTTTTGAGATGTTGAGAGGCCAAAGTGAGGTCCCTGTCTTCTCTTCCTTGAATTTTGAAACTGAACCTCGTTTCCTGCCTCTTCCAGGCTCTTCTGCATCAAGACCAGGGTGGTGGATGGAAGAAGTGACGTAGAAAGTGCATAGGAAAACGCAGAAACAGACCCGCCTCAGGGTCCTCGAGGGATGTTGACCCAGCCGGAGGCTCTGGCTTCTGGTCCTGTGGTCCTGGTGGGGCAGCCGTGACAGGCCACACGCACCCAAGTGGCAGGGAGTGGGGTGGAGGTGGGGGTGGTCTGTACAATGGGTATCCTTGAATCATGCTACTAAAAAAAGGTGCAACGAGAAAGAAGTCCCTGTGAGTTCTTAGTCACAAGTGTGGGCCGTAGAACCCACAGGATTCCTCCCTTTGGTATTAAATAACAGTTTAAAAAAGCTTTTTAGAAACAAAGCAAATACGCAGTGGGACGGGAAATGGGGCGCCGTCCCGGGTTCACTGTCCACCGAAACAAGTCTCATCCCTAGTCATAAATAAATAATCTCTCTCCTGGTCTGACTTCCACGCCAGGATCAATATCTCTGAACATCTTACTTATTTTATTACTGCTTTTGGTTTTCTGGGACTGATTGAAAGTTACTCAGAGGAAATCTTTGGTTTTGCTTAAGTGTCCATGACATTTAATCATGACTTTCCTTGCAGTTTAATTCCAACCAGTCAATCAGTTAATCCACTTCAATTGATTCTGGGCTCTCGGTTATTGGCTTGCACTCATTGGGCATCCGCTGGTGCCGGCTCAGCTGCGTGGCCTGCGTGAAGCTCCTCTCACACCTCTCGCACCTGGTGGAGGCAAGAGAGAAAATTGAGACCGGGGAGCAGGGCCTGCAGGGTGATGGGCTTCCTCTCATCCTGCCTAATGAGAACAGACACTCCAAAGTGGCTTCAGATTTTACCGGCTCAAGAGGTTTAATTGGTGGCTCCTTCCAAGGCCTGGATGCCTGGAATGGGACAAAGCCCGTCTGATGCGGAACAGAGGGATCTGTCAATAGGCAGGGGGAAGGTGATTTCTCCAGAGAGTCCTGTCCTGCTGCAGCTCTGATCACTGTCAGTTCAAATAGATAAAGAACAAAAAGAGATTTTTAGGAGTGAGCCATCAAAGCAGCAGCTTGTCTGCAGTTTCCTGCTCCGTAACCCCAAAGAGAAATTGATGACAAATAGAATTTCACCTGCTGCTAATTTAGAATTGAGCATTCTCCTCCCCTCAGCACAGCAGCCTAAGAGCCACCACCTCCGAATGTGGAATCTTCAGGAAGCAGTCCATCAGTCTGCGGGACTGGGGGGCGGTGTGGGTGGGTGCGGGAGGCTGCCTTTGTGCAAAAGTATGACAGCGTGGCCAAAACGCGGAGCCAAAGGAGTGTTTGCAGAGTGGGGTGGCAGACAGAAAAATTCACAGTTAACACATGTTTGGCTCTAGAAGTTCATCCCTTCTGGAAGGTACAGTAAAGAATGTACCTGCATGCCATAATTAAGGGTCAGTGTGTCTGATGAGGAGAAAACGGGCATCCTGCTTCAAGAACATCTTTTGTCTTTCACTTAAAAAAAAAAAAAAAACAAGGATTGTAACCTAGAGACCGTGAGCTCGACCCACTTCCCATGCAACACACTTACTAGCTCGATGGGGACTCAATCTACAAAAAAAAAAAAAAACTAACTCATGTACACACATGCACACATCCAATGGTGGCTTCTAGTTTTTCTGGGGTGGCTGTGATTCTGGTTGTCTACAATTATGCACACAGGCAAACTGTAGCAGCAAGTGGCACAGACGGTGACTTCCATGACACGATTCTGCATGTCTGGGTTGTGTGCAGCACTAGCCAAGCACGCACTAGGGCAGAGCGGCCACCATAGCCATCCCCTCAATGCCTTCTCCTCAATCCTTTGAAGGAAAAGATACTCAGGAGCGCTGCACAGACTTGTCTCTCTTTTAAATGATGCAACCTTTGGTCTCAGGTCTCTGTGCTACTGGGTTGTGCTAGAGCTCTCCAGACAAGTCCTCACTGCTCCATTGTGCACCACATCATCTGGTGGACAGTCCTCTCTTCTCTCTACTTTTTTAAAGTACATCACACAAAGTGCCTTGCCACAGAGATAATTACCTTAAAAAGACCAGAATGCATCCATCCACTTTGGGGGTTCTTGTGTATTTTTTTTTAATGTTGGGAGGCTGGGGACTTGACTACCATGCTTGGATTTTTCAGAGCGCCTGTGCCAGCTGAATGTGTCAGGGTGAAGAAGTTGTGTTTCTTTGATTGTCTTCCTGGGAATATTTTTAGCAGCCTGTTTTACTGTTAAAAACTGCACTGTGATCTTGACAAATGTATAATGTCAGCTTTAATGTATCAGACCTATCAGCTCAATGAAAATAACTCAGAAGTATTGATCAGCTAATGATTTTTGGTGTATTCATTAACGTCCACGGGCAGCTCATCCTCTCTCCAGAGCTCCTGAGGTGCTGATGACATGTTAGCGAACGGCTGATTGTTTATTAGAAAACTGATTAGTTACCAGATCGGTGTGTCAAAATATACTACCTTTCACTGCTGACAAACTTTCAAATTATTATATTCCTTTAAAAAAAAAAAACAAACCTCTGAAGCTTTAGAATCAATTTCAAAGAGAACTGTTGGAACAATTAGGAAGAAAGCCCTTTTACCCGTGTCACATTTCCACACTTCTCAAAATCTTGGGTATTAGAATATGAAAAATTCGTAGGTAGGAAGTTTCATCCTTCGCATAAGGCAAAGTGTATGTCTCTATGTGATCATTAAATATCCTGACGGGACAGAGATCTTCAGATCTCTGTTTCTCTCAAGCAGTGTGCCTAACTGGCTCACACTCCCAAAATAAGGAAATCCACCAAGTCTGGTCTGTCTGGACCCTCACCCAAATATCATCGCCAGTGCCATCTGCTCCAAGGGAGAATGGAACAAGTGCAGGTATGTGTATCTATGGGGGTTGCTTCCTTACCAAACAACGAGGCGAAGAGAGCTAGACAGAAAAAAATATCCTTTTAAATGAAGGAAGAGCCTCCATTTTATGCTCATTGCCTTTAATTTTGGAAAAATTTCCTTTATGAGTTATTTTTATAGCTCAATGAAACTCCTTAGAAAGACTCCAGGCAAATACCTGGGTTCTTGCAAGTCAGAGCTAGATTTCCTCTGGGTTGGCACTGAATGACCCCTGAGCTCCAACCCAGTCGAGTGACTGGGAACCTGTAACCCCGCACTTCATGCAGTGGCAAGCAGAATAAGAAGGAAAAAATGGAAGGGAGAAGAAATGGGTAGGAAATATCAGAAAGGGAGACAGAACATGAAGACTCCTAACTCTGGGAAACGAACTAGAGGTGGTGGAAGGGGAGGAAGGCGGGGGGTGGCGGTGAATGGGTGACGGGCACTGAGTGGGGCACTTGACGGGATGAGCACTGGGTGTTATTCTGTATGTTGGCAAATTGAACACCAATAAAAAATAAATTTATTATTTAAAAAAAAGAAGAAGAAAAAAAGGATGAGGGGAAGGAGCAGGAGCAAAGAAATGCTCTTGCATACAGTTCTTCCTCATCTTGGGGATGTCACAGCCTTGAAGGGTACGTCACAGGAATGCTGAGGTGTAAGTCACCCGAATACTCTGGTATAGAGAGAGCCCCCAACTTTATATGAGTAGGGGTAGCTTACTTAGATATGGTTTCCTTTTAGATTTGAAGTCATTCCTTACTTAATGTGATGGCTGGGTAAATTATAGGTACAGGGAGCCTAAAAATCACCTCCTGAAACTGAGAGGCCAAAATGATGTCAAGTTCCAATACAGAGAAAACCCGCATGAAGCTTTTTTTTTTTGTGCGTCTGCAGCCTGTCACCAAATACTTCTTGGATTGAACCCAGTTGCACAGGGTTTATGCATATGATGTGCTCGAGGCATATTTACTGATGTGCTGTTTTTCTTTGCTCTGTTGCCTAAATCTTGTTAAAATATTAGATGCTTTTTGGAATATCCTGGTTTTTTTTTTTTTAAATAGTGAGCCAATCTGTCTTGACTTAAGGCAAAAACATACTGATGAGTATTTTCCCCTGCTTCTAACAAACATGAAGAGAAGAGCCTCTCCTATGGGAAGACCTGGTCTTCCCATGTTCCAAAGCTGGGCATCAAGCAGTTCACATGGACCCATCAGAGCAGAGCAGCCCTAGCCCCTTGAAATCTTCAGAGATTATATTGAGGAAGAGAAGCAGAAAGGAGTCCTCGCTATAAAGAGTAAGTTTTATATGCCAATTAATTGCCTTCCTTCCTTCCCTCCTTCTTTCTGTCCTCTTTTCAGTAAAGAGCTGGCAATTGCTACTAAATGAAATGATGTCTTGCTTTTGTTCCTTCCTGTCCATGACTTCCAGTCTCACCGTACAAACTGAAAGCCAAGGCCTTCCTTATGCCCCTTTGGTAGGAATTTTTCCTATGTGCTTACTTTGGAAGTTCTAACTTTACAGTTAAGTTGTCTGCCCACAGGCCCATGATCTACCTGCTTCATGGGGGTGGAGTATTCCTGTGGGACCGCAGCCAATCAGATTGTGAGGCAAAGCCTGGACTGAGACTCTGATCTCTTAATGTCGGATCTTCTCCAGCCTTCTCTGGATGGCAATAATCTTGATCTGCCTACACCTACATCCCATCTTAAGATTTTAGATGTTGGCAAGGGCCCTCCCCAATCATGGCAGGCCCCTAAGAATTCTGTGAAAGCCTGCTGGGCCCTGGGTGGGTGGGACAATTTGGGGGCTGAGCCATTTGGGGCATCTCTGTGGAAGTTGCCTGAGGCATACAGTTTAGCATTCCACATTTTTATGAGGTCTTTTCCTTTCTTTGTAACATTGTTTAAGCCAATGCCCATTAGTTGGGGTAGTAAAATTAACTGTTGCGGTGAAATCTGTTTTATTGACTAATCTGCAACAAAAGTTTTTTGAATGTTTGTTTTATGAGCTTGTAAAAGGGTATCTTCATAATATTTACAAATGTCCGTGGGATGGAGATCTGTGAGCTATGGTGAGAAGCTTCCCAAAACTCCCTTGGGATAGTTCAATCCTGAAGGATCAGATTGCATACACTGAAGGATTTAGCTTTCCATGTCCTAGAAGATGTTTAACTCTTACACTATTAAAATGGGTGTACACTCAGTTCTCCCCTGGGAATATATATTTGATAAACCAAAAGAAAAAAAAAATCAAACAACCCTACCCTACCCTACATACAGCATGTAGCTATCCAAATAACAGTAGAAGTAGAACGAACCAAAGGGTGTACGCAGCCTCTAATTTAACCAACTCTTGGTTTTCCTTAATTCATTTTCTAGATGAAATTAGGTGATGGTCACAAAAACACATTTTATGAAAGGAAGAAGATGCAACTATTAAAACCCCTCAGATATTAATCTGTTGAATTAAAAGTAAGTTAAAACGGCAACTCTATTGGAAACATGACAAAAATAGGATGTTAGAGAAAAAAAATTGAGTGGAGTCAAAGAGGTTACACATAAGTAACACCTTAACATTAATAGAAATCTATTTCCCATTTTGACCCTGGAACCTCTTCAATTAATTACTAAAATCTATTTACACAGCAACAAGATAAAAATCAATCTGATTCCTGGCACTGTGTCTGTCGGGCTGCCCTCTCTAATGTAAGGGGGCCAGAAGGATCGTCAATCGTCCTGCATCTTTGCTTTTGAAAAGCTCTTTTGCTCAAAGGCATGGGACTTGGGCCACTGTCCTCTTCCACTTCCAGAGCAGTGATGAAGTAGAATCTGTGAACCCCCTGAGAGTCAGGCCTGAGGGTGATGACAAAGTCTACTGTGCAGGATGTAAACACCTGTAATAGCAACTCCAGTACCTGTGCTAACCACTGGCCCTTAAGGCAAATTAGAAAAAAGTGGCCCATTTGGGCTATCACAGCTCCAGAGGGTCCAGCTTGGCTGGTGTAGCACAGGCTCTATTTTAGACCTCTTCCTGTCCATTTGGCCAGATGCTTTTTGTGCCGTGAACAAGCTGTACCCATGTACACGGACAAAAATTAAAACTCCTTTTACTATTAACATCATAGATTAAACCATGATGAAACTAGTTAAGGATAATGAACAAAGGTAACTAATTCTTGGGGTGGTAAGTGAAGTTGACAACCTTTTATGAGTTCCTCCCTCTGATGGCAGACACCGAGGCAGGCAGGGCCCAGGCCCGAGGACTGTTACCCTGAGACAAACCTAGCCTCAGGTCGAGCACCAGGGCAACAATGTACCATGCCACTAGGTCCAAGAGGAAAACCATGGGTAGTAAGACTCTACAAAGACTCACAGGCTGAGACTGAGCAAGGAGATTCATCTCCTACTACCTGAAGTCACCTCCCTTCTTGCTTGATCTTGTCCTAAAGAAAATAAATAGGCTACACATCTACGTGTAGAATCAAAAATTCAAATCTTTGAATTTTCCTTCTGAACCAGGGAACACCAAATAGTAAATGAGTAAAGAGATATGCAGAGGGGTGAAGAGAAAAGAGTCCATTACACAGACAGTGGAAGTTGCTTTGAGACAACCGATCATGTCACATGTACTGGTTCATGCTCCCCAAGTCTTTCCACATGTGGCTTGGGCTGCCAGAAATGCCTCTTTCCTTTGTATGTCTGGAAAACTCCTAGTCATCCTTCAAAACACATCTTGAACATCACGTCTCCCAGACAGAACAGATGACTTCATTTCTGTGCTACCTTGCAGCTCTGTATGTATATGTCTTACTGTTCTTCACTTTTATACTTTATATCCTATGTTGTAACACTAGTTTATTAACTGGGCTTCCCTATAAACTATGTGGTCTTCAAAGACTGGGGGAGCAAGGTCTCATTCACCTTTGTATCTTTTGCACCTTGCTGGGTACCCAGTACAAAAGGAGATGCTCAGTAAGTATCTGCTGAATGGATGACACACACATGAATAAATGAATGAGTGAAGAACAGGCCACCTTGCATGAATCAGATGTCCACTGTTTTCATGACTGTATATCTAGAAAGAATCTCCCATTCAGGTGCCCTTACTTTGCCAAAGTCCTTGGAGTCCAGTCCTATCTCTTTCCACATTCCCTGGTCCCTCAAGAATTGGGAAGTGCCCTCTATGTGGGTGTGTTTCATTTTGTTTTGGGTCACAACATAGTAATTCTGAGATCAGAAGGTCACACCAGAAAAGCCACAAATTGGCTGCTATCACAGATTTAAACCACTTTAACAGTAGGAAAGAGGAGGAAAGAGTCCACCAGAATCCTACAACATTCAAGTTTCCCAAGGGATGACTATTTATATGTCCTAAACGTGGGGGTCACCTCACTGATGGTCATGGGCTTGCTGGTGGCCAAAAGGTGGCACCTGGTAGGGGCTCCCAGCTTAAGTTCTAGAAGCACGGATTCTCAGGAACTAGAAAGAATCTTAAAATGACTTACTCCTACTTGTTGATGTCACTGATGAGAAAACAGATCCAGAAAGATCGTTCTGTGTCCATGGCTGCACAGCTTCAGCCAGGATCAGTATATAGGTTTCTTGACTTTGCTTCCTAAATGCCCACCACTAACCAGGTAGGTTCTCTTGTAGCCTGGACGCTGAGCTCCCAAGCAGCCGTCTCCACCCCCTGGCTGAACCGAGCAGCACTGTGCCGGCTCATCTGGTAGCTCTCAGAAAAGGCTGAGAGGAAACGAGGTTCGGGGGTCAGGCTCTACTTACTTGAAGGGTTTTTCTCCAGTGTGGGTTCGGATGTGGTTGTTGAGGGTGGTGGCCCCCGCGAAGGCGCGACCACAGTAGCCACACTTGAAAGGCCGATCACTGGAGTGAGTGACCACGTGGTTCCGCAGCTCAGATGGTTGTGAAAACGACTGGGAGCAGTGACCACACTGATAAGGTCTGAAACAAATAAAGAGACTGCCTGGTCATTCCTGGCCTGTGTCCATCAAGGCAAATCAGCATCACGAGGCAAGGGCGAGAACTTTCTGGTGATACTTTCTCAGTTTTGCAAACCGCACTCGGGCTCTGGCTGTTGGGTACCCGAGGACCCCGTGCTTGTTGCCACGGGAACACAATTCACAGAGCTTCCGAGGCACATTAGTTCCCAGACGAGTATTCCTTTCTGGCATTAACCCTGCCATTTCAAGAGCCCTTACTTTCCCGGTTTTACCCCCACCCGAGGCAGATGTTAGCAGGCTTCTGGGAGCCCTGGCTAAGCAGAAGGTTACAAGAGGAGATACATAACTATTGCTCCTGATTCCGTGGCACTTTAAACTTTTCAAAGCGCTTCATCTGTTACCCACTTTCACCTTCATGCTAATCCTCCTGGGTATGGAAAAAGCATCTGTTACTATCTCTGCCAGTTCAGAAAACTGAGGATAAATGGTCCTCATTGGTAACAAGTTGGAAAAGAGTTCTTAAGGCCAAGGTCACTGTAGGGGGTGTGGACGTTACCTTGAGGCAAACTATGCAGAGAAGTCAGCAAGCGGCATGCGGGTTTTAAGATATGCTCACTTGCCTTGGGGTCTGCAAGCACGACCTCAACTGGGGGTCATCTGAGAGTGTGTGGACTGACACAGGTGAGTACCCAGATCTGTCTCTTTATAAAAGCAATCCTGACTTGCGCTTACTCTTCAAACACACACACACACACACACACACATACATCTATCCACTGGGTCTTTTTCCTTAAACTTCAGCTCCCCAGTTTAATTTGGTGGCAAGCAATGATTTATAGCAGCACAGAAATGACGGGATGTCACTATGTTCACAGAAGGGATGATGGTGATGTGAGAGCAAATGGAAGGAAGTTGTGACAAATACCTGATAATTAGCAAGATTATCAGAGAACATTCTTTCCAGCTCATGAGAAGGAAATCAATTTGGGGTTTTCATAAAATAGATTAAAATTCTGTTCTTCTCCACCGAAGTTCTGCTGCTGACTTAAGCAGAATCCGGTGAGTGATAGAAAACCTGGAGTTTTCCCCCCATTAGAAGCTACTTCACATCATTTTTTGACAGCGCTCTAATTTGTTTATCAAAATTTTTGTTAAGAAAATTAATAATGTGTCACGAGGGAATGAGCAGTGCTCATAAAGCCCTTGGTTTGTGGCCTGGACGTTTCTGACTACACTGAGAAAGCCAATGGCAGAGGGAGACTTAATTGCTCTGCCTCCCACAAATGCATAAGCATCAAAGACCAGAAACCAAAACGAAGGGCTAGAAGACGATGGTGAGCGAGCCTGTACAACGATTCAATTAAGTGCAAAATAAAGTGTACCCTCTCATTTGTCAAGCGAAGTGCTTAATTGTGGCTACTTGCCTCACTGAACACAAATACTATTATTTTACTAGGCTTCAGCACACTGAGCTCTGATCGTAGAATTTTTTAGCTTGATTAATAGTCCAGGATTGGTCAATAACTCAATACTATACAATTTTAATTACTTACATTTAGAAATCTATTTAACTGCTCTCAAACAAGTTTCAAAAAATATATATAAGCGTCCTTGGTAAGGAGTTTATCAATCTTGATAAATTACACGTGCATGTGATTGCAATGATTAAATAATGCCTTGAAAGCCATTAAAATTGTACGTAAATGCAAATGTCCTCCTGCCAAGTCTGTTTTTTTTTTTTTTTTTGTAGTAACCGTTAACCTTAGTGTTCCTCAAGAACAAATCCTCTCAGGAGTGAGCTTTGTAAAATGTTATGGAAGATAATAAACAAAATAATTTATTAATATATGCTATATTCCCTGACAATTGATTTTTCTAATGCTGAAGGGACCATTAAAAGTTATTAGCCTCTGGTTATCTATTTTTAATAGCTATCACAATAAACAATAAGCCACTAAATAAAGCCAATTAATCTTTTCTTTTTTTCTAACTCTGCTGTCAAAAGTTGGGGTGATTTATTTTCTACAATCAGAAGTCAATCCAGTCTTTTGATGTTCATAGTCTCGGTGGCAAAGATTTGCACACAGAAGAGCAGAAATAAATAGAGAGGCTTAACTTGAACTCTCATATCCAGGTAATTCTGAGGAAAGGCAAATAGGATCCTCACACATCCCCTTTGCTAGGTATCCAGTGACCTAAGGCGCAGGTTTAAAAACTTGGTGGAATTTAGCGTGACTGAATGGAAGGGTCTAGACTAAAGGGAAGATAGCAAAGAAGAGTCTTGCTTCAGCCACTAGCATTAGGTGGCTGTGGGACTTGGACAAATCAACTTGACTTCCTGATTATTGTCTTACTTCTCTAAGAGGGATAGACTGAACTAGCTGTTCTCTGGCATCCCATCATGCTCTGTTCCTGCTTCCAGATAATCAATGCTGGAGGATCTGTCCAAGATGCGGCCCCATGAGACACAGCAACAACAATCTGACCTCCATCTTCTATTTTGTGTACCAGCCAGTTCCCTGGACACAGTCTTTTATGGTGTGTGTGTGTGTGTGTGTGCACGCGCGCTCATGCTACTTAGAACATGAACGATTTAAACTTACTTAGTATACAGTTGAGAATCAAGGCAACAAGAAAATTTGGCACCAAAATGTAGACTCAAACCTTACTTTAACTGCTCTCAAGAAACAAACTGATATTCTTTCATTCTTAGGTACCTCGAAGGATAAGATTTTACACCACACGGTTACATTCATCTTTGCAGAAGCTCACTTTATGAAGAATTCTAAACTGAAGTGTGTACTCCAGCTGCCACTATAATAACAGTTTGTCTCTCAGCCTAGAAATTTATAGAAAGTCAGCCTTGAGAAAGTACAGAAGTCATACAGCAAGTGGACAGAGTCCTTCTTTCCCTGGATTTTCACTATTTCCTAAAAAATGAATAAAAGGAAATGATCCAAAAGGAATGTTAACGCCGACCGCATTATTGGGTTTCACCTAAGGACAAAGGCATACATTCAAGGCAAAAGAAAATCTCCAAGCCCGAGGGTAGGGCTTAGAAAACACTTATCACCACTATGGAATCTTCCTTGGAACAAGTGGCCACAGGAGTTAAGGGCTTTGAAGGCATGGAATTTGTTGCCATCGCTAGGCTTTGTATTCTGATGACTAACATTCTCATTCACTTGTCAGGGTCTGTCCAAAAGGTAAGGCTTACTTTACTAAACTTGTAGATACAATCAGTTTCCACTCCAAAGTTCTTCCTCCCTTCCCTCCGATGTGTCCTACCAGCAGAAGCTCGGAAGAGTTGACATCAGCAGGCTCTGTGCTTAGATCCTCTCTTTCCAGATTCCCAGCTAAATTGGAACCTCCTTTCTAGAGCACTCTGATTCCCACATTTCCATTATTTGCCAAACAAACGCAACCAGCATTCCTCACCAGGGGACATCTCCAAACCAGAGAAACTTCTTGCTCTTTTACTACTCGAGGCATCTATAGCACTGTTGTCGATGCTGGAGACGTTCTTTATCCATCCTATCCAATAAGGAAGCCAGGAGCCACACAGCTCATGTTTAGCTCTTGAAATGTGGTTATTAGGGTGGCTGAGAAAGGGGTGTGCTATTTTACTTAATTTTGCTTTAAATGCACCTAGCCTCAAAAAAAAAAAAAAAAAAAAAAAAAGGTACCTAGCCTGTGTGTGACTAGTTCCAACACAGATATGTCAAGGCTTCATGAAAAATGAGAAGGGAGAAGGTGCCCCGTACTCAGTAAAAACAAAAACAAAAACAAACAAAAAACAAAAAACAACTGAAAAACAGACAAAGGCCTAGGTCGAGTCAGTTAACATCTATTGCTGTTGGTACATTTTTAAGCAGAGAGAGAGGCGAGAGTTTCGTACACCCCCTGGCACTCTGTAACTGGCAGTAAGTAGCGCTGCCAAAGATTACTCGCCGGCGCAATGTGCAATTCATTTACTTTGAGTCTGTAATTGGTTTGGTGTACACAGAGAAAAAGGATGAAACATTTAACAAAATTAAGTGTGCTTTGGTTTAAAATATTAATCCTTTGATTTTTCTTTCATGGCAACGAAAGCCTCCGGGACAAAAGTTGATCGGCAGGGTCCACGTTCTCTCCTTGCCCCGCGTCAAGTCCTCCCACGTGCAAACCTTCCAAGACTTCAAAGGGAGCTCTACTTAGGTCACGGCCGGGGCTGGGTGGAGTGAGAAAAGAATGCAGCTCTATGGAAGGAGGAAAGATTTCAGGAAAGTGGCAAAAGCGCAGAGCCAAAGGACCTGGAGAACATGGAGCCCTAGAAAGAAGAGAAGTTTCACACTCGTGGGCGGGGTGGGAGGGAGGTGGCAGGGGGCGTCGGGGGGTGATGGTGGATGAGGATGGTGAAACACAAGAACACTGACACATTGCAAAGAAACTATTACGGGATGGATTATCTCCAGGCTCCTCCCACCAAACAGCACCTTCCAGGGTCACCTTGTCCCCTGATGCCACCACATCCGATCACAAACAATGATACTTAAAACAACACAAACATGAGCAGCTGACCAGGTACCCAGGAGGCTAACAGGCAAACATGTACCACGCAAAAATCAAACAGAAGGAAAGAAAAGGACACAACATAAAGATAAGCATTATAAAGACACTTTCTGCAGAAAATAAAAAGAACACATGTTCATCCAAGAAAATAATCCACCAAGAGTGAAGGCTTTGCTTACCCCTTTCTGGAGCCCCCCCAGTGGGATGGTTGAAAGTTTCTGCAGCAGAAAAACAGAAGAGAAGAGAAAAGGGATTTCTAACTCCTGGTTCAAGCAAAAGGGGTTTAAGCTGTCCTAGCCCAGGTCATAAGCTAACGCAAAACCCCACATGTCTATGAGGTCCCTAAAGAAAAATCTTGGTGGATCTAGATCCTAACATCTTCTTCCCTTTGAATTTAACTCAGGAAGAGAAAAAGTCAGTAGCTCGGGAAAAAGGAAGAAGAGAACTATGGGTTTGTTTAATATTAACAGAACAAAATAAGAAACAATAATTCTGGACCCTCATGGATGTGCTTTTACCTTTAGTGCTAATTTCTACCTGGCCAGGTCAACTGGAATTTCTTTCTGCATTGAGTATAAATAATGTAGTAATGAAAAATGGTAATGCTGGCAACCCTAGGTGTCCCCAGATCCTTTTCTTTTATATCAAAGCAGAGACCTTTTGATGGTCTCTCACATGGAAAAGCTCACGAATATAGTCTCTTTGATGAAGGTTCAAATGTCTTGGGTTTCATGGCCAAATACTCCATCCGTTGAGTGAAAAATCTTTTGGACCTCGGATTCAGAGGCCTGTTTCAAATTTGGATCTGTTTGAAACTCTAACCTGTTTACCTTCTGACTTTGTCTTCGGTGTCTCTCTTTTTTGCCTCTGGTTCTAGCAAGGTTTTCCTATCAAAATAAAAGCGTTTGAGTCTTGCAAATAGAGGGGAAATGGTGTCAAGACTGGCGGGTTCTAAGCTTGGTATAGGGCTGAATGGGTGCAAACTGCCAAAGACGAAAAGCCAGCTGATTTATGAAGTCAATAACTAAAGAAAATATGTACATTCTGCAGTTGTAATTCTCCATGTGGATAATAAGAGGCTTCAAGTTTCCTGACCATCAGAGAGAAATTTGATGCTCCAATATAGTTCTATACATTTCTCCTATTTAGCAAGTCACTTATGTGGTTAAGTATTATGGAGAGTATCTTTTACTTTCCAAACTTGCTGGCACAAAGACAGCATTCCAGGTTCTACAAGAGAAAAGACCTATTCCAGTCCTAGAGGCTAACAGCATATTAGGTATCTAGAGAGAAACAAGTGCATCAGAGTGAGTGGGTATCTTCCACTATTTGCCCCTTGCCTCCAATAATCAATCTGGAATATGATGGGGGTATTTCAAGTATCTCCTCCTCATTACTCAGAAACACTGTACTTTATTACTTTCCCTGTAAAGAGTCTAATTTTTTTGAAGTCATAAATTGTAAACTGAACTGATGCATGAAAGCTGGTGATCACCTCTCAAGAGGTCACCAACAAAGCACAGGGAAGGGAGAAGGAACCCACCTCTTGAGTAATCTGATCCCACTCTGGCTAGCTACCTAGGTAACCAGCACCCATCACTCTACCTTATCTGGGAAGGTCGGCCACACCACACCTGAGCATCTGAGTCAAATAAACCCATCAGGGCCTAACACAGGACGGAAATCTCATACCACTGGGATTTTTGCCAATAGTTCTAAATTAGCTTGGAATCAGCATTGACCCAACAGTCTCTCATAGGAATGTATTTTGTATATGTACATTTTGTCCATTTGTCAGATATTTTTTTGACAGTCTACATAGATGTTTTGCAAATCATGACACTATTATCTTATGGGACAGACTTTGTAGGGAATCAAACCATAACACACATATGGTTTTCTAAGTGTACCTGGGTCAGACAAAATAGTCTTAGTATCAATTTACCGTAACATATTCTCATTGCTTTATGTGATACTCAGCATGAAGTCATATCATACTCAAAGCTAAGCTTTGCGTTCCAGTATCCAGAAACTCCCAACCATCATGTCATTTTACTTCGCATGTTCAATTACTATGACAACAGTGCACCCATGCAAATAACAGATCCATACATCTGAATGCACAATTTAGAAAGTAATTTGATAATACAATTTAATAGATCTTTTATACTTAAACTACTAAAATGCATTGTAAACTTTGAATAGATAGAACTTGAAGCCCTATGTATACTTGCAAGAGAGGAATTTTCTAAGAAAACTCCTTCAGTGAGGAAAACATTTTAGAAACTTTTGTATCACCTCTAAACCCAAAAGTACTATGATGTTTGGAGGTATGATGATATTTTCACCAGACTTTACTTTTACTTTTCACTTTTCCTATGGAAAATAAAAGATTGTAAAGACCCACGTGCCATAACAGCCCTAATGCAACCATTTCAACACTAATTAATTACAACAATGCTTGATGCTAAGCAAGTGGTTTCTAGAAAGGCACAAATAAAAACATATGCACATATATATGTGTACATGTACACTAAAAGGGATTCTTTTTATTATTTTTTAAAAAAGATTTTATTTATTTATTCATGAGAGCCACACAGAGAGAGAAGCAGAGACACAGGCAGAGGGAGATGCAGGCTCCCCACAGGGAGCCAGACCTGGGACCCAATCCCAGGTCTCTAGGATAATGCCCCGGGCTGAAGGCAGCGCTAAACTGCTGAGCCACCTGGGCTGCCCTCTTTTTATTATTTTAGATGACTTCCACCCCCTCTTCAGCACACCTCCACTCTGTATCCCTGGCTGGGTTTTCTGCACGGCTGGGAGCAGACGGCTAGGTGTAGAATATAAGGCAAAGAGAGCTTCAGTGGCTTAAGTTAATCAGTAGCCAAATTAAGAAAATAATTCAGAAGACTTTTTTTCCCTAAGTGTCCTATCTTCCTTCCAAAAATCCTCTTCCACTTTTCCATTCAAAGTGCGTTTTCAAGGCTATTCTTAGATATTTTGGGTTTAATCAAATCTTCATAGGACATGAAAGAGAAAACACAATCCTTTCTTATTGAATTATTTTGATTTTTGTCTTTTGCGCTCCCAGCTATCAAGACTGTCGAATAAACCAGTTTTGATTCATAAATAATAGTTCCATTATATCTACTGTGCCACTCGTCAGAGTACCTGAAATTTTAATTCACTTGTTCAGCTAAATTTCATCCTCAGTTCATGGCCATAAAATTCTTTATTGACAAACTTTCAAACCAACTTTGACTCTGAGGTATCTAGTCAACATTTTTCTTCTGTGTGGATATTAGTTTATTGAATAAGTGGCATCTGTTTTCCTCCACATCACTAGCAGAGTAGGTATTTCCTTTTGACAGCTTTGCAGGATTTATGGCTTTGCATGCTCCGAAGAAAAATAGTACTAAGCAAAAAATTCCAATTCATTACCTCTTAGTACTTAATTAAGTTCATACCCACGGCACACTGGAGGTGAACCCTGAAATGCCCGTGACAGCAAGCAGAGCAGCCAGCTATATTATCTTAGGAAGACAGAGAGGATTCTGATTATCCTGACCTCATTTTTCCATCTATGATATTCAGAAATGTGTTGTCTACTTTGCTCTCCTTTGGACCTGGACAGAACCACCTGGAAGGCAAGAGCAGAGTCCTCCCTGCAACCACTGTCATTCCCGTTCCCATAGCCCGTCTCAACGATAAAGTGGAGCAGTGGCCCCACCATTAATCTCCGTCCTTCCAGGACACACACACCTCCCATCATAGGGCCTCCACTCCTCCCCCGCTGCCCTGAGGAGAGGTGTGGCTGGAGGAGGTACCCAGAGCCTGGTGGAAGGCAAGCAGTGGGTCTCACTAAGCAGACACGTGGGGAGCAGGGAGAGTCGGGGTTACCTGTCGGGGTTCTGGGTGCACACGTGCATCTGTAAGAGGATCCGCTGCGTGAAAGTCTTAAAGCACTGCCCGCATTTCCAGAGATGCCAGTCACTGAACTCCGAGTGGAGCTGGCTCGTGGAAGTCGGGCTCGCAAGGACTCGCTGGTTTTTCACGTTGATCTGGTTAAATCCCGATTCCATGGGCCCCGACTTATCCAGGAGAGAGAAGTTCCTGCTGCAGGGGGTCTGCGGGAAAACCACAGAGCGCTGCTGGGCTGCTGGGGACAGTTTGCTGCTCTTGCTGAAAGGCTGCAGGGCGTCCTGTCTGCACATGGCTTCCATGACCGTTGACGGGACATTTACTGGGAGAACAGTAATAGTATTAGGAGATCAGTTTTGTTAGCTTTTAAAATAAGCACAACAACACACACTTAAAAAATCCCATATATCAACAAGATTTAAAAAATTTTTCTGGACTCCAAATTAACATACTAATAGCCTATTTGACTTGAGAGGGAAAGCACGACAGCCATAAATTACTCTCACTCAACGCCTGTTTATTTAGCAAATACTATATGCTCAGGATCGTTCACACATTGTCTTTCCTCCCAGAGTTCACTTACGAGCTGAGACATAAGGACTCCATAACGAGGCTCCACACTATGCCCTAAGTTTAGAGGGAGCTCAGAAGGGAAAATTCGCAAAAGAACAGGAGAGAATGGGTGGCTAGTCACAGAGGCTAACCCCAAGCAATGTTGAGAAGGCAGAGATCCAAGCTCTCAGGGTTTCAGGCCCTCCACAGGACCTTGCCAGCCCAGGAAATTCCAGAAAAACTGACTAAAAGATGAAGGGAACAATGTGAAAGACACCTAGAGATGGAAGTCTGGCACCCTCTTGGTAGGATGGCGATGGAGACAGGCTGGCCAAGCAGGGCATGGGTTCTCAACACTGTGGGAATAAGGAGTGTAAGAGGGGGTAGGCCTCAGAGGCTCTTTAAAGTCCAAATAAGTAAAGAAAGGATGTCAGACCTAGGATATAGACACAGAGTGTCTCTGTACAGAAATAGCAAGGGAAAAAAAAGCAAGAAAATGGCAAGAGAAATGTGTGCAGGGTAGGTCTGAGTCAGGTGTGATTTGCAGGTGGGGTGCAGCCCCTTTGTGAGGGGCAAAAGAGTATATGGTGCTGGCAACTTGGGTTTTGGAATCAGGAAGACCAAGGTTCAAATCCTGATTCTACCTTTCATTAGCTTGGTGATCCTAGGCAAATCATAAAAAAATATATATATAGCTCAGTGCCTCAGTTTCTCCATCTGTAAAGTAAGGACAGGGGAGTAAGGATCTCCAAAGTAACAGCACCATGGCTAAGTGGTTGACATGGCCTCTGTCTTAATTCTACTGTTTATATGGGCTTGGGGACTGCTAGCAAGCACAGAAGTTGAAATCCACAATTTTGTCCTTGGTGAATTGTAAAACGGTCACCCTAAGAATTGAGTGAGTCAATGCATAGATAGTAAGTAGAAATGCCATGGTTACCACTCCATAAATGTTGAGTCCTAGGAGCACTGGCTTCATCTGTAAATCCCCTGTGATAACACATAAATGAACAAATGAAAGTATCCATCAGAGGGCCTCCTATCAACAAGGCAGCCATCACTCTTATTATAGAGAAGAGTCTAGAATGAAGGAAGATATGTTAAATGCAATGGTGGGGAAAGAACTAGAAGTAAGAAACATTTCCAAGGAAGGGAACCTAATATATGTGAAATAGTTTTCATTTTTAAAGTCATTATGGTGTTAACCTATCTCATGCACTCAGTGGTCAACCCACAGGCGTAGATTTAAAACTACCATTCTTGTTTTAGTAACTACTGTGTCAATAAAATGTATTTATTGGTTATTTCAGGGGTCAGAAGGACTAACAGTCACAGAGCAGGCAAGAGAAGAAAATTAGAGGCCCCCAAATTTGAAGAAGTTGATGGGAAAAAAGGCTGGTGATGAGAAGTAAATGATGGCCCTTGGCCACTGGTTCAAGTCCACACAGAAGGACACAAATGACCTGCGGGCTCTCATCCTTCCCTGCCACGGACCACCGCTAAGATGCCTATGCAGCATGCAAGCTCAACTACAAAGAGCAAATGATATTGGACCATGACCACCAGGAGGTTCTGTGCTTGAGTGGACAGGGAGATGCCATGAGTGGTGGAGACACAGAGGGAATGGTGTGTTGCCATTAGCGACTCCAACCCAGAGAGTTTTCTGCATAACCACAGCTATTACACAAATCTACCAAAAGGACCAGCTCTGTCCACAGGGCTCTGTCAGTGTGGCCCATCCTATCTTAGGATGGGAAAAGAAAGCAAGAGTCTTGCACACCTGGGAAGAGTTGAGCATACATTATACTCACAGGGAATCGGAATCTCTTGATAGGACCTGGACATCTGCACTCTTAGAAGCTCCCCCAAATGCCTCTCATGGACAATCAGGTTCCAGAATCACTGATCTAAGTCAATCCTCTCTTACTACAAATAAAAAAATCTGAAGTCCCAGAAGGTCCAATACTGGAACTTGCCCAGGGTCACACATGTGGTCAAGGACACAGCTGAGCTAGAAGCTTTAGCCTTTTAACTTCCAAGGCATTTTTTCTCTGGCCATATTCCTATCTCGTCACTGCTTACCAGCTGTACTTCAAAAATAAAAGGAAAATCGTATAGCTAATACCATATCTTATGTGTATAAACATATATAGCATATATATGCGATATATACATGTATATACCTATACACATTTATGTGCATATCTTTATTTTATACACAAATATTTACATGGAATTTCGACTTCTGAGGCAACAGTATATAATCCATATGAAATCTGTCACCACATTCTAGGCTTCCAAAAAAAAAAATCATCGCACACAGAATGCTACTCTTTTTAAATAAGAATCAAAAGATTAAGAGGAATGTTTTACCATGGTTTAGCACTTTTTTAGTGAGAAATAACAGCAGCATTGTCACGGATCAGGGCAGAATCCGTTTTGTGTAGCCTGTTTAGAACTAATCCAGAAGAAACAAAGCACAGGGAAACCCACACATTTTCAGGCAATGCTAGGCTCTTGTGGGGTGTGAAATCCCAGACTAATGGGAAGACACAGTGAAAAGACCATCGAATGGAGATGTCATCAACATGTCTGAGAGCAGGAGCACCAGCCAGAAGCTTCACTGTGGGAAGAGGACTGTAACACCTTTGGGGGAAATTAACGCAAAGGAGACTTTAAGGATAGATTATAAATTCTGACTTCTCACTTCTCCTGAAAAATAACCTAATACATTAATTTTCAAAAACTGTTTAAGGTCCCGTCACCTTTATATGAATCATGAGAATTGGTGGGCAAACGAATTTAACTTTAATGCTCAATGTCAACATGGTAATAAAGAAAAATTTATACCAGTTTGTAAAATAATCTGGGATATATGGGATCTGGGGTAGTAATAATATTAGGCAATAACAGTGCAGACAGTTGGATAAAATTATGCCCTGTCTCATTATTTCCTTCTCTCTGGGACACCTCAGAGCAAAGGTAATATGCTTTCAACACATAAGTAGCAACAATGACACTCTACTTTTGGTATGCTCCATTACTATAAGTGTGACTCAATTTAATCCCACTAAGTTAAATGAGCAGGCAATGGAGAGAGAAGAAAAAGTTAAGGATAGGAAGAAATAAGTATCACAAAAGCAACCATAATTGATTTCTACGCTGCCCTGCAGAGCTCCTGTGCACTTCCATAGGACCCTAAAGATGTACAAAGTATAGCTTTTTAAAGCAGGACTTATTGGACCCAGAACACTGTTCTTCCTAAATTGTAGCCTCACTGGCTACAATAATCGAAAGTATTAACAAAACACAGCAAATGATCAGAAAGGGGACAGCCCATACAGACAACTGCAAAAGGCCCAAAGATGACTGATGTGACCTAGAAGACGAAGTGGTTTCTACATGAAGACACAGGAGCTGGTAAAACCTCTTCCATCCACCAGACAAAGATGAAGGGGTAGAGGGCAAACTCTCAAAGCCATGGACTCATCAAATCCTGGAAAATTAAAACAGTGAGAGCGGCAAATGCAAAAGCCATAAAAGAACCTTCGGTCCCATTTGTTCAGTCCACAAATACTTAGGGAGCATGTCTACTCCATGCCTGACACCACTGGTACTGTGGGTTTGGGGGTGGGTTGGGAGTGGGGAGGGTGGGAACAAGCAAACCCCAGCCCCTGTCCTCATGCCACTTACACTCTAGTGAGATAGATAGCAAACAAATGTTCTTAAGAGTAAGTATTTACTCGTTTTTTTTCATCCCATCTAAAATTCCATTCTTTACAATACACAGTTGCTACAAGTGTGTTATGTGCTATGAGAGAGACGAAGTGGTGCCCAGCAAGCATATACGTGGGATGGCTACAGTTAGGGTGTGAGGGGCAGATGTCCTAAGGCAGTGATCCTGAATGTGAGTCCTGTAGGGCACACAGGTAGTCAGACAGGTGGGAAGGGGGAAAAAGGCAATACAAGAAGATGAAACATGGGCAGCTCTGCCATAGGGTGTGTGTGGATGCCAAGTTGGGACAGAGCTTGACAGAGGATGTAGGGTCTGTAACAAACTAAACAGGGCCAGATCCAATGATGCTCGAGCTCTAATTCTGTATTAATGTGAGCTATACAAAATACTTTCTGGAGACTCTATACAGCCATGGGCTATCATATTAAAGAACTGGGGATTCATTATAAGAGTAAGACAAACCAAAAAAAGGGATTTAAATTAGGGTGTGAGGTGATGAGATTTATGCTTTAAACGCATCATCATTCTATACTGCTAAATGAAAAAGTGAGGTGCAGAGCAATGTATACAGTATGCTGCTGTCTGCAGAAAGAGGAAAGGGGCAGAGTGAGAGCCAGAGAAAGGGGGAGAACATGCTCAAATAGAGTAGGCCAAAAAAAAAAAAAAAAAAAAAGGTCTAGAAGGAAACCTGGGTATCTATCAACTGACTTCTCAGCGGAATTATATGACCACAGTATCTTCTAGATTTTGATCTATGGAACCAAATTACCTATTAACAAAACATGCAAATGACCTGAAACAATACAATAAGCAAATGAAGAAGATTTCAGTTTGGCTGCTGTGATGCCACCAAGGAAAATGTGACATGAAGGAGGAGACTACGGCAGTGATCTGTGCTTAAGCTGATGCTCATGTTGACCAAGGGGTGGCAGAAGAAGTAAAGAGAAGTGTACCTAAGAAGACACAATCAACAGGGCTTTGTACCTGGATAGAAAGGTGATTTAGAGAGAGGGTCAGGGTTTCTAGAAAGAACA